TCCCCAGCCTAGAGCTCCCTCCCTGAGTCAACAGCCCTTTCTCCTGCATCCAAATTCCCTCCCAGAGCTTGTACTTCTCACCCCTTCCCACACCCAAATCCCTCATTCCCACCCCACACCTCACTCTCACTAGGTTGAGACAAGTATAAGGGCTGGGTATAGCAAGTGATGGAGAGAAGGGGAACAGAGTGGATGAGGCCTCACAGAAAGGAGATTGGGGTGGGTCTTGGGGAAGGAATGTGAATTTCATGAATTGGTGGGTCCCTCTCTCCTCCCCTGCCCCACCCCAAAATTAAGGCCACAGCCAGCTTGAACTTCAGGCAGGCTCCTTGCCTGCCACACCTCCAGCATGCAGCTCAAAGCAGCCAGCTGTGGAGACCACGTGCTCTCTGAGTATCCTTGTGGGGGAACTTTGTATACTGCCCCCCACTCCCAACACAATCTCTCAGCTGCCACTATCTGGAATTTTGCCAATGGGAGCTGCCTTGGCCACATCTGTGGAATGTACAGCATGTGGAAGCTCCTCCACAAAGAGCACCTGGAGCGCATAGAGCACATTACCCCTGCAGCAAGCTGCTTTGAGCTGCATATCAGGGCATGGCAGGCATGGACCCAGCCTGAGCACCTCACTGGGCTGCTGTCCAGAAGCTGCCTAGATAAGTGCCTCCTGGCCAGAGTCTGCACCTTTCATCCCACCCTCATTCTTGTCCCGATCCTCTCCACCCCCCGCACCCAAGCCCCAGGTCACAACCCAAATCTTCTTTATCCCTGCTCCTGCCCTAGATCACAACCCAAACCCCTGTACCTCTGCCCAAGTCACAACACCCTTCCAGATCCTGCACCACCTCTCCTACACATCCCTTCTTCAGGTGAGAATCCTCTACTGCACCCAAACACTCACTTTCCCCTCCTGCACGTCAATCCCTTGCCCCAGATCCCAATCCCCTCCTTTACCTAAACTCCCTCCTAGTGCCCAGGTTCCCTCCTGCACCTCAATCACCTACCTCTATTTCCTTTCTGCACCCAACCTCCATCCTAGACCTCACATCTCCCTTAATATCAAGGAAGAGTGCAGCCCTTGACTACTTACTAAATTCTTGGTGTGACGCTCCCACCCCCCAATCAAAAATTATTGCTCACCCCTGGTCTGCATGATGGCACTACAGCAGGATGGCAGCAGCACTGTAGTACTAGCAGTGTAGTCTAGGGATGTAAAAAATTTTTAAAACCTGAAATTTAATCATTTAAACACTTTAATAGGGCCAGCGGCTCCTGCAAGCTGCCAGCGACCAACCAATGACCCTGTCAGAGACCTCTATGGGCCCCCAGGGATGATCAGGAATTTAACCAGTAACGTGAATGATATGCTACTGGTTATCAGTTAACTGGTTAAACTCTTATATCCCTAGTGTACACATGGCCTTTGTTTAAAATAAAAAGGAAGAAACTGACTTCATCCCTGCCAAGACAAACTGCTGTTTGTATTAAAATGATTCACTGCGCTTTCTTTTTGGACTACCTCCTAAAGCATATATATGGAGCCTTGCAAATCCACAGCACAGATGTAAATATTTGTGGTTCATTTGTGCAGATACTGAGGGCTCTACATTTTTTTACACTTACTTACACTTGCAGATACTGAGGGCTCCCCACACACACACACACACACACACACACACGAAAGGAAAGGAAGAACTTTTCAGCATGCCCCACACAAAACTGATACAAGAGTCTCACAATAACAGAAATCCAGAAAGAGGAAGTCATTACAATTTAAATATTTTGAAGGTATGCTGCACTAGATAATTAAGAGAATGACTAAACAGAAAGCACAGAAAAAAAAAAAGAGAACATTTTACTGATTCTGTAGGGGAAAAAAAAAGGGAACATCATCTGAGAAAAGATTTACAATAGTTGAAATTTCCACAAAAAAGACTCACAATACGATGCAAATCCCACCTTTGAAAGTGCTGCAACTCTCTGTGCCAGCTCAGCCTCCACCTCAGGCAACGTCTCAGCTTTTCTCAAAGTCTGCTGCAACTTTTGCTCAGCCAGTTCCAGTCGCTCTTGTAACTGTCGGTTCTTATCTTCACTCTAAAGATTGAGACTGCAAAAGTCACCATTTGCATCTAAAATGTAGCTATTCATTTCTTTATCAAATATTGGAATAGAGACAGACAGCTACCTTTATTAGACTTATAGAAAACAATTTTCCAGCATTGATTTTATATTCCAAATACAAGAAGGAGAAAAGCAGCTTTCTAAACTAACTTTTAAAATTAAGTTTGTCACATAAAAGTGCTTTTTCGCTACATTAGAAATTGAATTCCTTCATAAATACGTCGCTAAATACATCCAAAGCATGTGAACTATTATGGTGGCCCTGCTCTATCACCAGTTATGCCCATGGCCCCTGGCTCTTGGTCTGGCATCAGCCTCACCAACTACATCAGAACCCAGCCCTGCTCCCAGCCCCAGCCTCGTTTTCCCTATCTGTGTTCCTGCCCTCATGCTGCAGTCCCAGTTCCCGGGGGACAGGGAGGCACGGACAAGAGTAAGGGGGCAGTGTGAAAAGTTTGGGGACCACCGGGTTAGAGGCATGCATGCATACAGGCAGCAAGAATGAATGATTAATAGAGACTACACCAGAAACAAGGGATGTAGACTAATCATTTTGTGGAGAAAGGAGAGAACAGCCAAGGGGGGTTGAAGAGTAATGCTGAGATGGAACGGGTAAAAGGGGGGGGGTCTCCCCTTCTACCTCTACCCCACTCTGATATCCTGTTAAACAGGCCAGCTGGGGCTGCAAGCGGCCATGGCAGACTTGGGGAAGCGGTGGGGCAGAGCAGCTGGGGAGCTGCCAGATTGGTTCCGCAGCGCCACCCCTCACCTGAGTGGCACTGCGGGACCAACCCAGCAGCACCCCCTCTGCTCTGCCCCCCGGCTCTCCCCC